TATACTTGTATAAAGAAATAATAATGGGTTCCAACACAGGAGTGGGTGGATTTTGAATTCCTCCAGAAGTCGACATTTGTGGAATTCGAATATTGTTATAGTGACTGCATTAAGCTTTCAAAACAATCTGATAGTACTACGTTGAAAACAAACTGAATAAATATACTTGTACAATGGAGCTTTTATTTAGTACGGTATCTGTATATAATTGAAGAAGAAATGTGTGGTAGACACCATTAAAAATAATAACTGATGCCTAGTTGTTGTTGTCAAGTGCAAGTGGATTTGAATAATTATTCATTCATTAAACAACATTTATTTCCGTAAATGTTAAACAATACGGTATTTATAGTAAATCATTATTATAACAAGAATATATGTAAATAAATTAATAATATGAAAAATGATTAACTAGGATCTTTAATGGCAGATAAAAATTTCTTTTCACGTAGGATACTCACAGAAACAACATAATTTAAATAACAATATTAAAAAGGCAAATTATACGCCATGCTTAAAATATTGGAACCATGCTTCAAAAAATTGTTAATGCAAATGCAAGGTCAATAAACAGACTTAACGTGTCACTTGCTATGTACTAAAATAGCAATTGTTTGTATCCACCCTTTTGAATTTTGTGCACCACCCTTAAAATGTTGAGGACATTTTCTGAAATTTCATAATTCTTTAAAAATCCTGGTGAAAGGGTGGCCATGGGGAACATAAGACAATGAAGAGGGTGAAAACAGTTCCATAATAAAAAAAAAAATACTGTCCCTAAAGGTAAAATTTGCCAATGTTAAGGAGAACCTCAGATGACAAAAGAATTCCCCTTAAAATATGTTGAGACCGCTACACAACGGCCTTTGCATGAGATTTGAGCATGAAGACAAGGCAAAAGCAGCTTTCTTAGCTACGTTTTTTGTCCGCTGATCGGTTAAAAAACGTATTTCATTTTTATTTTATCACTGAAAAACAACTACTGTAAAATGTTTAGCCCATGATGTGTGTGAAGAAAACATTAAACAATATTATAATTTGGACCTTCAAAAAGCAGTTAAAAAGAAATGGCTATGAAATTTTAGGGGGGGGGGGCTAAAGCCGGTTTAGCCCCCCCCCCCCTAAATCTGTTTTACGCCTGTCTCTTATACACATCTAGATGTGTATAAGAGACAGATTTTAAACAAGGAAGACTATATTAAAGAAGCGGAAGGACAACTTAAAGACTCTAATAACTATAGAACATTGACATGTGATCCAACTCTTGATTTTAAACGTGACCTTAATACTATTGTTTCTAATCTATCTAGCGATTTTGCTACTAAGGTAAGGGGTTCTATTGATCCCAAGCCCGACACATTTTACACCATACCTAAATTACGCAAACTTCCCAATTTAATTAAATCTCGTAATCTCACAGTTCCATCCTCTCCCACTGAAATATTCAATTTAGTTAAGTCATTGAACATCACTCCACCTGGTAGACCCATCGTTTCATCTATTGGTACCCTTACTGAATCCCTATCAGGCTTGGTTGATTCTTATCTTAACCCTCTTTTACATAACATACCTAGTTTCATCCAGGACACCACGCACTTTCTTAATATTCTGAATAACATCACTGCACTACCTAACAATGCACTCCTCGTCACCATGGACGTGTCCTCTCTATACACTAACATCATCCCACATGCAGATGGTGTCGATGCCTGCAGACACTTCCTCTTGAACAACTCATTTTCTGCTGAAACCACTAATGATATAACCACTATTATAGACCTCATCTTAACACATAACAATTTCTTGTTTAATAATCAGCACTTTTTACAAACACAAGGTACAGCCATGGGCACTAAAATGGCTCCTAGTTACGCCAACATATTTATTGCCGAACTTGAACACAAACTAATTTCTTCCTTTGATCTTAAACCTTTGCATTTTTATAGATACATTGACGATATTTTTTTCATTTGGCCTCACGGTTTTGACAACCTTACTAAATTCGTCACTCACTGTAACAACTTTCACCCCACTATCAAATTTACTATGGAACACTCTAACACTTCTATCCCCTTTCTTGATGTTAATGTTTCCATTTCAGGCAACAGTATCTCCACATCTCTCTATTCTAAACCCACCGATAATCACATATATCTTAACTTTCATAGCTCACATCCTAACAAACTTAAACAATCTATTGTTTACAGCCAAATGCTTCGCTGTAAACGCATTTGCTCTGATCCTACCGACTACTGTACTAACGTCACCAAACTTACTGAAAACTTTCTTAATAACGGCTATCCCCTCAAACTTATAAAACCATGTGTCATGAAAGCTAACACTCATACCCGCTCTGACCTTCTCACTTACAAACCTAAAATTAATACTGCACGCATCCCCATGGTCTTTGATTTCAATCCTAACACTCACAAACTATTTAAAATATTAAAACATGATTATGCCCTCCTTCAAAATGACACCACTATCCAGCCCCTGTTCTCGGATCCCCCTCTCCTTGCTACTAGACAGCCACCTAACCTTAAATCCATTCTTGCACCATCTAAACTTCGTACACCCAGCACTCATAACGGTAACACCTCATGTAATAAAGCTCGCTGCCAGGTCTGTAGCCATATTAACACAAACAGATCAATAATACTTAACAACACATCTGACTATAAACTGTCCCCCCCCCCCACCTCTAAATTGTGATTCTACTAATGTAATTTACCTTATACCTTATATCATGCACACTTTGCAACAAAGGCCATTACATTGGTGAAACGGGTAATAAATTCCGCCTACGATTTAATAACCATAAACATTCCATCCGCAATAACACCCCTGGTTTCCCTGTAGGGGACCACTTTAACTCCCCCCACCACAATATTCACCATCTCAAAGTGACTCTCATAGCCAGTAACTTCCGCTCTACTGAACACAGACGAGAAGAACTGAAATGGATTTTAAAACTCAAAACACACACTCACGGCCTCAATAAAGACTTGGGATTCATCAGTGAATCTTCCTTCTGCCGCTAAATATTCTTCTCTTAGTTTTCGGTCACTTTCAATTATAATTTTATTTCTATTTATTCGGTTTTATTATTATTATTCTGTTAGGCTTATTCATTATATATTATTGTTGGTATTGTATGTATTTTTTTTATTTTTTTTTTTATTATTATTATTTTTTTTTATATATATATATATTTTTTTTCATAGCCACTTCCTGTTCTTGATTTTAGTTATGCCTTATGTTTAGCTTATCCATTAACCATGGATGAATTAATTCCCCATGCATTAACTATAGTAATGCTTTCCCACAGTCCACCACTTGCTCATTCATTGTTCACCCTTATCACTGTTTATTTGTTCATTATCATTAATCCTTTACAGACGTATGCCGACTTGCTTTGACTTAATTACCGTATTGTTTCTCAAATTGTATATTGCTAAGATAGTTTCTCAATATGTTCATTTTATGTCAAGTGTTGACAAAGACTACAGGAGTAGCCGAAATATTCGCCTAATAAATT